AGTACGAGATAATGGGTTGAAAGGATGAGATTACGATAAGAGATCTCTCGGTGAATTAAAGTAATTTGAAATTGCTCCGCATAATCCGTCAGTTCTTAAAATTGACCTCAATGTGTGCCTTCGAATCGTTATGCGATCAACGGTTATTTTACCGTTTTAAAAATAAACGAATCTTTTCTAATTTTGATTGAATAATTGTAGATTTAATAATTTCTTTCTAGTACAAATTTAATAATTTAAACGTTACGATACGTCACGATAGGAAAAAAATATTTTTTGGCTTATACTCAATGCAGATAATATTCGAATGACAAGCAGCAAATAAATGACAGTTTAGTATGTTTTATTACGATATTTTATATTTAAGTAGAAATTCATTCTCTTTTCGTTATTTTCAATTTTCAAGATTATTTTAATTTTAATGGGGAAAGATTAGAATACATTTAATGATACTTATCAATCTTGATATTTTCAAATAATAAGAAAATTATACATCTATTAAAAGCTGTGAAGGTGACCTCAAGAACTTAAAAAAAAAAAAAAAAAAGAAAATATAGACGATCTATTATAATCATTTTAAATTTCAACCCTTTCAAGCTTAGTTGGACACAGATTATGCGATTCATTTAATATATAAACTATAAAAATCTCTTAAGAGAAAATCTTCATCGATATTCCTATTTTTATTAGTAGCCATTTAACTACATTTTAAAAAAGAAATTATCTATCTCTTTAGAAATTTTGGATTTAGATTCAAATGCATTTTGAAGTTCGATATTCGAATTCTTCAAATCTTCAAATGTTTGTTTGAACTTTGTCCTTCTAATATCGTGACACTTAAATTCTTCTGAATCTCTGAGATTTATCCAGATTAATTCACAATTTGGAATTAATAATTGCAAATAAACGTTAAAATTATTTATAAAGTAATAATATTAAATGAATTATTTTAAAACAAAGTTCATGTAAGAGCATCGATCGTACAAGAAATCTTTCGTTGAAATATTAAACGAAAAATTGAACGAAATATTAAAAAATCAAAATTTAAAGAAATTATATATATATATATATACTCGTAACGTGTATATACTCGTTTACACGAATAAATAATAGATTTTCAAGCAGAAGATCATAGAAATTTTGGCAATAAACTCGTGTCGATCAATTTTCAACTCGCGATATGTAGAAGCCAGATTGTCCAAATTTTCGAAGCAAGGAAACGTCACTCAAACATAGTATTAAGTGTTGGTTAAGACAAATGTTGATGCAGAGCAAATTTGATTATGATGAATCGAGATTTGCATACGAAAATATACAAACTTGAAAATTATTGATCGCATAAATACAACGGTAATATGACATTTATGAAGAAGAAATATTTTTAGATAATACCATAATTTTGGCAATTTATGATTTAACAAAGAAAGATGCTCTTCATTCTGAATTCGATTGCGAATGATTTCGAAATCGTAACAGCTCGTTGAAAAACAATCCAACTATTACACAGGCCGAGGGCGTTATTTATTTCCATTATAATGATTGGCACCTTGCGAGACAATTCGATTCTCATTGAGATTCGAGTTTCTCCTTGAATCCAGCATGTATCGTTTTTTACACGAAAAACACAATGCAATGCATTAAATAGTAGTTCGCCTATTTAATAAATGATTTAAAGATTTGAGATAAAGTTGGTTTGAAAATTCTATTTTTGATCATACCAATGGTGAATATGTAGAGATTAGATTTAGGGGATAAAAATTCTGGTATTTTTTTTTTTTTTAAGTATAGAGAAATCTGAAAAACGTGGTTTGAAAACGAAAAAAAAAAAGAAATTAATAATTCTAATTAAAAAAATTAATAATTAAAACATTTAATTATACAGATTTATATTATAATTTTAATGAATTTTTTTTTCTTTTTTTCTTCTCATTTTTCTCTTCTTTCTCTTCAGGGAAAATTTAAATCGAGAAGCAAATTTTTTTTCGATTTTAAAGATCCGATACTTTTTTGCATTTTTAAATTAGATATTTCCATATTTTTTTCTGTAATAACTAAAAAAAAAAAAATACTTTAAATGATAATTTTTGAAATATAAAAAAATCTATTTTCAAATTTAAAATTTTTGTTTTCATTTACAAAAGGAAAAATTTGTATTTACAAATTTTAGAGTTTTACTTTCAAATAATTGAGCAAAATAAATCTCAACATTCGAAATTTAAGTAAAAGATTTTGATGAGATAGAAAAATCTTTGTATCTCGCGTGTTAAATATTTTCATTTTTATAAATATATTAAAAATTTCCATGAATAAACTGGCAATAAATCGAATGAACAATAATTCACGAGAAATAATATCTGTTCATTAAAAAATTAAAACCGTCAACATTGTAAAAGAGGGTAATTTTTATATTTGTATTTATATTTTCCAATATCTACGTGTAACGATCAAAATTATCAGAAAAAATGACGGAAAAATTACACGCAATCCCGAGTAATTTCGACATCAATCGTACCTCATTTTTGGCCGAGCAATAATTGGTAGCGGTGGAATGTATTATTACAGCGCGATTCGTGGCGAAAGTTGCGGCCTTATCCTTTTTGCACTGTGCATACCAAAATCATTCTCGTTCCTTCTCGAACGATTTCCATTCTATATCAAAAGCGTCTCAACCTTTTCATTTTTCCATCCGAAAATTATTTTGTCAAAAGGGAAATATAAGATTTCGATCCCGTAAAACATTCGAATCTGAAAGATTTTTGTGATTACTTTGAGAAAAAAGCTACGAAGATTCATTCGATTCGTGATATATAATTCCGTTGTCGTAAAATTTGACTTAATCTAGTTAATAAGTATGGTAATAAAGAAATATAAGTTATCGTGTTAAAATAAAATGTTTGGCACGTAATAGTGAATTCGAACTAATGGATTTATACAATGAATTTTCTGAAATCATCCATTCTTATGTTGTAGACTTGTATTTTAATTCGTCAATCAAAAAATTGACGAGCAATGCACGTTTGATAATTCGATCGATTGTAAAACGATGATCTGGAGAAAAAGATCGAATAAATATAGATTTTGGAATATAAATGATAAGGAATTAATCAGAATCGCACATGGAATTATCTATGAATAATAGTTTTATATTAAATTTCCCGTGATTACATCAAGAAATATTGTTACTTTTTACATGGAAATAATTTTATTGTAAAAATATAAAAATACAGTAGAGCAGTAATAATGTGACAGAAATAATTTTGATGACGCAGATGATGGAGTGATCTTACAAGTACGAAGGATTGTTTGTTTTCTGCTTCTTTCAAGCCGCGAGTGTCTACTTAATAAACGCCCGCAAAAAGAACGAGCACTTCGAGATCTAAAAATACGAAAGCTCCAGAACGTCCAGTCGTCGTGGTCCTGAAAGCGATTGCGACAATATTATCGCAAATACATACGTTAAGCTGTGACCCCGTTGAGAAACTTGTTGTTTGTTGAAAAATTTATTTAGAAAAAATTGGAAAAATTCTTAATTTTCACACGGAATTGCACAATTCATCCAATTATTCGTAACATTTAGATCTTTAATTTACAATCTAACAACTGATTTCGCATAGAAAAGAGTAGAGAACTAAAATCGAGAGAGTATTCGTTTCAGTAGACCTAATGACTTAATTTTAACCGAGTGAATTGTCAGAAAATTCTCAAATGCAATGTTATAATTGTCGTTTGAATTTAAGAAAAAAAAAAATATTTTAAAATCTGATAAATATGTCGAAAACTGCTTTGGAATACGATACAAGGAAATAACAAAAGCGTAGAGCGAGAACGTTTAAAGCGACATGCAGAAAATGTGGGAATTCGTACGATTGACGGCGACAAGGTCGAAGCAAACAACGCCGACGTTGTTCACGGTCCTCGATAAATAACACGGATTCACGATGCAAGACGACCAGAGTATCGAGTTTCAACGAACCAGGAAAGAGCGGGTTTATTGGATAAAAATAAACGAAGATGGAACCGTGGAAGAAATAGATGGGTTAAGATGTGGTCGCTGGTGACGCTATTTCGGATGTTGGAATTAGCAATGATTACGTGCCAATTTATTAATTACTAGAGAGATTCGAGTAGTTGGAAAAGAATAAGTGGGAAAAAGTTTATTTATTGCGTATACAAATCATGATATGTTTAAATCATGATTTCTCGAGAACGACATGATTTATTGAGAAACTTATTTTATGGAATTTGACCTCACATTCTCTCTGGTATGCAATCTTTGATCTCAAGGATGATAATAATTCAATTGCTAATGAACAGGAGATATCAATACATTATTATTTTAACTCTTGAACGCGTATGTTTTCATAATTGGATATAAAAAATTAATAAATTTAATTTTAATTTTATCCAACTCTATTCGACACAATAAATGCCGTTAATATACTTAAATAACTTTACACTTTAACAATTTCTTAAACATATCGAACAAGTTTGTGGCCAGTAAATTTTATTTCTTAAAATCCAACCAATTTATTAAAAAAATGATTGCAAAACTAATAATATATCTCGTCCATATTATTAAATATAATATACAATTCACCGCAGGAATCTGATATCAATGATAATATGTGCTCTACAAGTACGTAATATTAAATTTTATATCACGACAAAATAATTCGAATCGATGTCGAATCTTTAAATATTTAATAATTATGTAGAAATCGAGAAGAATCGATTCTCAAGACTACATCTCATATTTATCGCTACAAGAAACTTTGCCTTCAAAACTATTTAAGAATCATCGCAAAGTCCTTAATTACATACATCAATAATTTACACATTTCACATTGTATAATCTAATAACGTGTTGTAATCTATTGATTTAAATCCATCGGTTGAATCATGATGCATGGCGACACGTTTCTCAAATATATATATATATATAGGACTTTAGGAATCATGGCTTGAGAAACGACTCGCCGCTAATTAGATGGTTCACTCACCGTTCTCCACGTTTAACTCGGCCGCGGTTCTATACGACATAGGTCTGCCAAAGTCACTCGCGTCGCTCGGATGCAGCAACAATTGATGGGACGCCCTGGAATGATGCCTCGAGGTGGACGCCCGATGCAAGTGAACACTATTTAGGACGGTATTGCTCGAGGCACGGCTAAGCGCCTCTTTTTGTCGAACAGCCTCCTTGTAAATCTTGCAGTACATGACGATCATCACGAGACCGGGGATCCAGAAGGAGACCGAGGAACTAATCACAGCGTACGGTGGGTTCACCTCGAACGTGCATATCTGATTCACCGACATGTGCGTTCAATACTTTCTCCTTGGAACGATCGAGGAGAATGTATTATTTTGTAACTACACTTGTTTTTTTTTTCTTTTTGTTTTATTTTTATTATCGGATTTAAGAATCGTAATAATACTTTTTTGGGGGAGGAGGGTAATTAATAATTACTAATTATGAGAGAGATTCAGGCATTTTTTTTTTTTTTTTTTTTTTGATACTTCAAGAGTAGAGAGTATAAAATAGTAATAAGATAATAGTGTTTCGCGTTCTTTAAGTCGTTTGTTTTCTTATATTGGAAATATTTCTTTTATTATTTTTTAAAGTTTCTGTCATTTTTCGAGGTAAATCTATTGTCTTTTGCTTTAATATTTGTACCTCGTGTTTATTTTTTTATTATCATAGAAGTTATGAAAACAAATTGTGAAACTTTAATAATATTTCGCTAATGTTTTATCTTGTGCTAGTGTTTTTATTTCACGAATTTAAAAAATTTTAAAAATAATTTCTAACTTTACTTTCACTAATTTGTTAAATAAAATACAAGTTTAAATTGAAAATTAAAAGTTTCTTGGACTACGGTATTATTCTCTATAAATTGAGATATTTCTGGTTGAAAAAGAAAATTTTTATCCCGAGTTATTTTTTAAACCGGTGTCTACATATGGAAACTTTATTTTAATTGAAATAATAATACAAAATGATTTATTAACAATATTTAATATTAAAAAATATTTTCTGTTAAAAAGTATCGACGTGCACGCCATCTCTCTCTCATAATTACTCTACATTGGAAAAGATTTTGAGATAGATACATTTTTTCTTTGAGATCAATTGAAGATTCTTCAAAGAGATAATTTTTTTTTTTTTTTATTAAAACCTTCCTCTTCGCTTGTTCCGTTTCGGATATTCTCTGTTATCTAGCTTTCGAGTTTTTCTCTAATTGGATTGAAAATTCTGATGTTCAAATTGTAATAAATATTGGTTGGATCATATTTTTCTTAAGATTTTAATCAATTACGATTTGATCTTTAATTCTAATAGTTCTAATTGGATTTTCGTAGTATTTTAATTTTGGCTAAATTTTTTCACTTTACACAGTGATTAAAAAATTCTCAATAAATTTCATATTTTATCTTCTTCTTCTCGATTCGTATTGTTTTAAATTTATTCATACAGAGTTCTTTTTTTTTTTTTAATATAAAAAAGTTGAATGAAACAGTTTTTTTTAAAATTAAATTAAGGTTTTCATTTTTAATCGAGGATAATTTGAGATTAATCCTTTTCAATGTTTACTTGATGTTTTTTTTTATTTATATTTCATCATCACGAGTTTTCCTCTCCTAACTTCATCATTAATTCTTAGACGTTTAAAACTTTGATCCAAAGTTGTTCGAGAACTCTTGATTTTTCGATCTCATTAATTTTTTTCTTCTAACATTTTATCCCAACTTGTACAACTTTCGATCCACTTACTTAAATAAATTTAATTTAATCGTTTTTTATTCTTGCCATTCTATGTTCTTATCTAATCTACAATATAATACAATATACAATATTATCTTAAATATAAAATGATAATATTTTATTTTTACATATGTTTTTAAAGGAAAGAGAAAAAAGAGAAAGAAGAGAAGAATTTTGTTTAAATTTTAAACGAAACCTCTATTTGTTTAAAAATAAACGTAGTTATGGAAAAATATAGGAGAAAAGATATCGATATATATATATATATATATATATAACGCAATGGTTTTTTAATCAATGGAATCTATAGAAAGCATTATAATCGCATAAATTTCGAAAGCACGAAAGAATTATTATTGTTGGAGGACAGAGAAATATGAAAGTGGAAGTCTCGGCAGAATTTCGATTAACGGAACGTCCATTGTTCGAATCGTTCATTGTACCAGGTGTATTATCGAAACAATATATTTCGTCATGCCATATTGCTCCTTTTCTCGCCGATATTTTCCACTAGATCACGATTAATCGGGAACTTATTTAACTGTGACTTCACATATTTGAGAATAAAGTTTAAAGTGCATTGCATTTAATAAATGATCTTAATTTATTGTTAATATTGCGTATTTTATATTTAGAGTTATTTGTCGTAATATTACGAACGAAAATAAATGAAGAAATTTTAGAAATGGATAAATAAAAGATTTGAATGAATAATGAAACGACGATAGAAATAAGATTTCGATATCGCTGATCGCTGAGGAAGAAATTTTTATCCGTTTTAAAAATCGCGCAAGAAATAATTGCAATAAAAAGTAATTGGAAATCACAAAAAAAGATTTAAGAAGAAACGAATACCGATAAGATTAAAAGAAACGAAAGTATAAGATTAAAGAGAAGTAAGAAGATTGAAAATGAGAAGGAGAAAATTGGAGATAAAATAAAAGGAGTAAATGGTAAGAAAGAAATTAAAGATAAGGTGGTAAACGTGGGTGGAAGAATCAAGATCCATTACTGCAGTAAGAAAATTGAAAATAAAAGGAGTGAGAACTAATAATGAAAGCAGCGAGAACAAAAATAAACGGTCGATTTAAGGATAAGAATTATAAGCTGAGAAGTTACGAATATACGAGTAGTTAAGAATAGTTAAAAATAAAGGAAGTATTAATAGGAATAATGTAATATTTAAATAGTTAGAAGTTAGAAAGAGAGAGAGAGAGAGAGAGAGCTACACGCGGAAATATAATAAAGAAACTTTAAAAATAGACATTGAAAATACGAAAAATAAACTATAAAGAAAATATTTAAAGAATTATTTACTTTGTTCAAAAAAATTCTTAAAAATACATTTATCGTCCCTATATTACTATATTTTAAATTTTCAACATTCAAAATTTCTCCTTATGTTTCTTGAATATCGTAAATATCCAAATCTTTCATAATCGAAAATCGTTAAAAGAACTATAAAATTTTTAACCAATAAATCTATATATAAATAATATAAAAAAATTTCATATAGATTATTAACGTCTTGAATATAATTAAAATAATAAAAATTTCAACGAACAACAATTATTTTTCAACAAATTTTCATGAAAACGTAACTCGCCATGTTGAATTACGTAATAACGCGACCTCGACTTGGCGGGGCACCGAAAATTAGGAAACGGGTGAAATTCACGTCCGACTTTATTAGTCGAGTAATAAGATTATGCTCGAAACTCGCATCTTCATCGTACTCGAAAAATAATAAATTTACCGTTTCTTTGGTCGTGGTTTTCATTCTTGTTGCAACTTTGTTAAATTATAATAATGGGAATAAGAGACCGTGCTCGTTCTCGTCCACAGGTGTAACGTAGGTTAAGAGACATTCGACAAAATCAATGCGATTTTGTACGATCGGATATAATATAAGATTATAATATAAGAGAATGTGGCTGGGAACATGTTGGCTCTGTTCGAACAAGAAGCATCGTGTAATAAAACGTTCTGCCTTCTTGTCATGAATACCGAGGAAACGTAAGCGGGTGATTCGAATAGTTTGGTGTTTGCTTAAATCAGTTGTGTCTTGTTTCCGCCGTACCTGTTTTACCTGCTACACTCGACAGAGATTCAGATTTCCATTGTTCCGAAGAATAATAATAAATTAATACGGAAATTCTCTTAAGAACTTTCGTTTTAATCGTCAATTATGCTTGAAAAGTATTTAAACGATTCGAGAAATTTTAGAAGCAATTTTATGCCGGAACGAAAGATCTAAAGTTCAGAAATCAAATTTTTGATTCGCTCAAATGGCCATTTTTTTTTTTTCATCATCTCTAAGCAAATTTTTAAGAATTCCATCTATTAATTTTTCTTTGATTAAAAATAGTTGTCAATGTCAAAAAACATTCATCATACGCGATGCTATATAATATTTTTATAATATTCGATACGAATAGTAGTATGTTCGTTCGTATACTTGAAAGAATTACGAGGAACTTTTGTGAAGACGAAAACAAATTTTTATTCGGATCTTAATTTATTGCCAACTTTCTATAACGATTCGGATCGTCGAACAATCGAAGAAGAAAAATAAAAATAACAAAGTTTATCGGCGATCTAGAACAGAAGGAATAAAACTCGATAACAATGGCGTTTTAGTAAGAGAAACGCAACGCACGGCCGTTGGAGAATTATCGAAGCTATTAATTCCGAGTTTCCGTTTATAGTATAGGGTCGGATAAGAGGCGAGACGGCAAATCATATCTGTATGCAAATTTCGAAAATCGTTCATCTTCCTCGCCGCTTCCTTCGCGTTCCCTCGATCCACGTTCGATTTTTCTTGGATAGAAATCTTGTCTTGCACGGCTCGAGTGTAAATATCCGATGAAATATTCTATTAACAGCAACGACGAGTAAATTGAACGCCACTTATCCGTCCGTTTCCCCATCTACGAGGTTAACGCGGAGAAACGCGTTCGAATTACAAATTCGAGGGATTATCCTCGACGCAACGAACGTAACGAGATCGAATTTATTCGGTGATCGAAGAAAGGAAAATAAATCGTCGTTCACTCTTCGAACGGAATTGAAATATTATATAACGTAAATACTGTAATATTAGAATATCTGAATTTACAAAGTCTTATTGAATCGTTTGAAATGTTTAGAAATTTTTTTGAAAATTTTCTTCATCCAGGAATATTTTAATGAAACTTTAATAAAAAGAAGAAAAAGAAAACAAGGTAGGTTTTTAAGTAGCGCAATTTGACTGTCTCGAAATTTTTCGTTCAGATTTAAATTCTTTAAATACTCGGAGACTTGTATATTTTTCAATTTGGTGCAATTTTAAATCGTTTCTCTCAAATGCAACTCGTAGCCGGCGTTAAATCGAATCAACGGTTATTTTTACGTTTTAATAACCATGAACTACTTATGTAATCAGCTGTTTCTCATTAATTTGATATGCAGCGTACCGAGAAATCGTCGCAATTTACGAACGTTGCTACGGTTCACAAAGCATCGACACCAATTAGATCTGTTGGTAAAAATTAAAAAAAAAGAATTGTAACGAAATGCCTCGGATAAGTAAAAACACAACTTTTAAAGTAATTGCAGAAATCGAAGGAAATATAATTATATACGAATTGTTTGTTATATTATGGTATTCTTTTTGTTTCTTGTTGTTGTTATTTCTACTTTAAACGGTTTAATAATTTTTTTTTTTTACCTACTATTGTAAATGACAAAAAGATTTATATCAAATCTTTAAAATGGCGGCAAGGAGAGTATAAAAATCGAATTATAGAAGAAAGATATTTTTCTTTTTGAATCGATATAAAAATTGGGATTTTCAATCAGTGGTTGAAACTTAGAATTGTCACGCTCTGAAAAACTTGGCTTTAATATTCGCTCGGGGAAGCATCCTCGGGAAACTGGCAGCAGTACGTTATCTCGAGCGAATCGTGGCTTTCCATCTTCGGAATATCTTCGCGTAAATGCGCTTCCTCCGGGAAGAAAGGAAGACGAACAAGAGGAAATAAGTACGATGGTCTAGCATCAAACTAACAAACCGATAAATCAAATAAAAGAATTCATCGTAAAAATGAATAATCTTCGAGAAAAGATTCTTTTCTTCTTTCTCGTCATCGTTCGTTCTCGATATAATCCTCCACCATTCCGTCCAACCAATACTCGTATTTTCTTCTACCTTCGTCGCAAGACAATTTCAAAGAGAAAATCCAATTCCAAATTTTCTGATCGCGATCAGAATTTCAAAAAAAAGAAAAAAAAAACCTCGAGAAAAATCTTCTTCGATCTTTTTTTTTTTTTTCCCCCTCTTTCTTTTCCAATCAACGTAGAATCGGTGCCGAGAAATTGGCACGAACGATGCCACGTTTCGTTTGATAAAAATTAATCAAGGAGAATAATCAAACGCCGTGTAGCCACAAAATAAAGAAAGAAGAGAAGCGGTTGTCCCCGAACAACGATACTCTCTTGAATCGTTCCAACATGTCTCTCTACCTGAGAATCATTGTCCAACTGGTCGAGATGCTCGTCCGTGGCGTACCACCCCATAAAAATGGGAATGAAACTGATGAAAGCGGGGAGCAGCCATGCACTGGCCAGCATACAGGTGACGGTGAGCCTCTTCATGATGGCGGGATACTCCAACGGCCTGACGATGGCGTAATACCTGTCCACGCTGATGCAGCAGAGATGGAGGATCGAGGCTGTGGAGAAGTAGACGTCCAACGAGCACCACACGTCGCACATGATCCTGCCGAACATCCATCGGCCGGTCAGCTCGACGGACGCGTTGAAAGACATGGCGCAGACCGCGACGAGGAAGTCGGCAGCGGCCAGGCTGACCACGTAACGATTGGTCGGCACGCGCAGCTTCCGGTGCCTTCTCACGCTGGCGATCACCAAAGCGTTCCCTATGAGCGCGGTCACGATGATACCGATGATCACCACGCCTTTGATAGCCGTCCAAACGACGTTGATCGGTTGATAAATGTCCCCTGGAACGGGTAACGTGTCGTGGACGGTCGAGTTGAGCGAGTGTGAGAGGCGCTCGATGCCGGAAGTGGTGGTGAGCCTGCCTATCGATCGGTCCACGTCCTCGTCCGATGGCTCACTGACTTCCATTCCAACACGAACCGGCTGTGACCATGTTACACGCCGGGAAATCGTTCAGGGTGAAGTCTGTTCGAGGCAGTCGGGCGTGAACACGGTGTTGGAATTCTTCACGGGGATGGAGGACGACGGGCGTCGGGAAACGGATGGATGCGTATCGACCTGCATCCTGCTCTCTTCCAAGGATTTACCGAGACTCGTGCAGATTTCCAACAATTCGATCCACCTCGTGAGGACAGACTTTTGGATCGTTGTTTTCAGATTAAAATTGTTAAAAAAGATTCTGGTGTCACGGGGATGGAATTAAAAAAAAAAGATAATGGATGTTATCGAGTATTTGTAATATGTTTCGTAAATTTTCTCGAACGAGTACGCCAAATCGTTCGAAAATCGTGCAAAACGTTATCAAATGTTTATCACGTGTCACGATTTAAAAAAAAAAAAGAATCTCCAAATCTCTTTCGAACTGAAATTTCCATGCTTCGTTCCGTATAAACGTTCGTCGATTTTTTTTTCCTCTCCCCTCCCAAGAGAATTGCACGACAAAAAAAAAAAAAAAGGAAGAAAAGAAATGGCTGGAGGCTGTACAATAGACGAATGCGCGTGAGTAAACTTCCCTCGTAAACGTTCCTCCTGTTCAGAGAGACGGGATATACTTTAACGTTAAAACAAACAGCTGGAGCGCACGGGTGAGACGAGTTGTGTGCATATTTAGCTTGCTCGAAAAACGTCTTGCTCTCAGGTATTCCAAGTAAAACGCAAACAACCAATGACCCGATCTCGCTAAATGTACTCGCGCTGCAAGAATTACGCTGCTCAGAGAGAGAATTCGTTTCTTTTCTCTGCATATTTGACGTATCGTATTTAACCTTTGTGAGGAATCGATGCGATAATGCGATTAATTTATTACTCGCTTTTTTGAAATTTAGAGAACTTAATTTCCTAAATGTACGACGAGTATATTTTTAGAACGTTGACTTTCTAATGTAAATTTCTCGCGATTAGATTCTATATATTGTAAAAATTATTACCAGATATATCGATACATCGATACATTGTTCGTCGCGTTTGCATCGATTGGTAAACGTTTTCATTTACTAAATAATAAGAAATTTCAAGAATTCTACAGTCGTCAACAATTTTGTGTCGATTCTTCGTATCGTGGACAAATAAAGTGATAAAATTAAATTCGTTAAATATAAATTAATTTAAACATTTATTAAATTAAGTTAAATTTCGATTTTGCTTCGAATAATTCTTTCGAAGAAGAAGGAGAAGAAGAAGAAGCGGAGGAGACAAGTCGTGGACAGACGATAACCTAACGCAATAATTCGAGTACAGCGCCACCTGTAGTTGCTCAATTACAACCCATACTCCGTTCAAAGTAACTTGTGCTCCTGTCCCAAATGAATTCCCTCGAGTTCAGCTTATCGCTTACCACGTTTACTGTAAGTCTAACCGCAAATATTCTATCCCCGAACAATCTAATTTCTCGTCATCCGACGTGTCTGGCACAGTTCGTCCGGAACACTGCCACCTCAAACCACCTGTCACGCTATGGAAAAGACAGTTTTCACCTCGCGAAATCCTCCACCTATTACCTATAACCGACTATAACGACTATAGCGAATAACTTCATAATACCCAGGTGTCAAACGCAAAATCGCTCTTAGGACTTGTCACCTGGAAACGAATGTAATCTTGTTATTTATCGTTACGTGAACATCGATAAAGAAGAAGTCCTTAACCAATCCTTAACCAATTTTCCTCCTATTTTTTACGATATAATTAATATTTGCAGTCCTCTGATCGAACACGGAAGAAAAGGTGAAAAAAATTTGTTGTCGCAGTGTAATACAACAAATTTAAAAATCTTGAAAAATTATGTATATAACTTTCTCAATTTTTAAATAAATATCATATGCGTGCTATCGAGTATCTGTAACTCGATTAATAATAATAATAATAATAAACAGCGCGATAATATTGAATCAGACAAAGATGGAAGATCATGTCATCGTACGAGAGACATGATGATACGTGAGAAAGGGACGTTCGAGATGCGAAGCCTCAATGGGCGTAATTAATGGCACCCGAAATGCCGTAGTTCCGGCGGAAATGTGAATAGGCACATGGTCGACGTGGATATCGGGGACTGGCTCGATTTCCTGCGTGTGATGCGTTTGATAGAAACTTGTCGACAATGAACAATAATGGGTTGTTTTTTTTTATCTTTTTCTGAAAAACGTTTACCTTGGAAACTGTGAAATCGAATAAATTAAAGGTATCGTGATTCGATGCGTAACGTGTCGTGTATATAACAGACGTTGTTATATTTGAAGATTTCTAATTTTACTCTATAATGATACATACGTATAGAATACGTATTTTTTGATATTCGTATAATTGCGATAAGATAATAATAGTTATATTCCGTAATATTGTTGAAACAATAAATGATTTTTTGATATTAATGAATCGATTTGAGAAAGAAGTTATACCATGGATATGTTGGAATATCTTAAATTCGATTAAAATTATTATTACGAAGAATATTTACTCGGAGTAATTAATTGTACAACGTGTTATAATGCAATAGCGGAAAGAGACAAAGGAAGATACATATTCACAAAGATATTGCGTAACATATATTTATTAAATATCGATAAAAATTTATTTAACAATAAATAAGTATCGGTTTATTGTTATATCGTTAATATTAATATTTCTAACAAATAATAATCGAACACTTATTATGATTACACGCGTGGAATTTATCAAATACGTATCTTACAAAAATGAATTTGTAAAAAATTTTCCTTCTTCTTTTCCTTCTGCATAGTTAGCTTTTAATTCTATTAAGCTTCTATTAATCTTCTCTAATTTTAATTTTTTCTTGGTGGAAAGGGGTCAAAGTTCTCGTTAAGACTGTTACTTCAAATTCACGTGCTAATTGGAATTATTATTATTATTACATCAACAGATGCAGTGATTATCTTGCTGATTGTCAATGTGATATAATATAAATTTCGTTTATTATTGGTTGCAAGTTTTATTCCTTGTATCTCTCTCGAATTGCAATAATTATCGTACAAAGGGAACTAAACGAATTTCACTGATTTTGTTGGATATTTTTGGATATTCTGACAGAGATCTGCCCTTTTTATATTTATACATCACATAGACAATTATTTTTTCATTAAGATTTCTTGTTTGCTTTGAATTTACCTTTCTGAAAGTAATAATTAGTAATCAACGCTTTCGTTGAATTAATGATACGTACGCAATGATGATAAATTAAAGCGGTAATTACCAATTATTTATCAGCAATTCAATAACGTGTAATTTATATTTTGGTGATTCAATTATCAAATTGACATTTGAATCATATTATTCGCATTGTTGAATTGTAAGTTAAAAAGGAAAAAAAAAAAAAAAGAAGAAGAAAAGGAAAACTTTGTATTAATTGTAACTTTCTATTATTAGACAAAAGGCTAATAATATAAGATTCTTTCAATCAAGAGATTATTTCTGTTATTGTTAGCAGCACTATTTATAACTGTATGTGTATACCGCACGTGTTAATATATTCGCGAGACATGTTTGGAAAACCGATTCTGAACGTGTCTTCGAAATGAATACAAATGTATCAACGTATTAACGTATTAATTGTATGTATCTGAGTAATTTAAAAAAAATTGTGTGTTTGGTTAAATCTTTTTATTTAAAAGATTAAACAATCTCTATGAAGCAACGAAATCTTTCAACGCACGATCCAAAATTTATAATTAAAAGCAACTGGGACAAAGCTAATTAAATTAGATAATAATCGAATAAAAAAAATAAAAGCTTCGTTAACTTTCAAATGATCCCGTTTTCCAACGTTTTTGATCACATCTGGATCACATCTTTTCAAACAAGCTTTCTTTTTTATCTTGCTCATTATGAAATAAAGAAACGGAGCACTCGTTACTTCGAATCTTGTTGTACGTATCGATGTTAGTCGTCAAGCCGACTAGCTTGAGATGTTTCATTAACGATTTTTTCAATAAAACTGCCTCATATTATATTCATGTTCACGGCTGTAATTTAAAAACTTTCAATTGTTAAGCTTCAATATTCTAATCTACGTCCTCTAAATAAAAAAAGATAAATTGTTTTCTTTTAAAGTTAATCGGTGGTTAAATTACGATGGAATAAAAATTACTCGTCGCTGTGATGCGCGACTTTGCGTTAATCGCTCTTAAACTTTTGTCGACTGAATCGTCATAAATGAGATCGTCAAACTATCGAATTATAAGTAATTTTTCTGTCTTGGACAGATGTTAAATGCCGGAATTTCGAAATTTTTTATTGCTCGCAAATGTCTAGCATCTTCGTATCTTGACATTTTGAAACATTGTGTGAAATTTTCAATAAGATTCTTGAAAAATATTACCTCTCCCTCTAATTGTTTAATTAGAGTCAGATGCAGTTTGATATACGACGTAACATAATAATTCGAATCGCTTTTAATTACGTTTTACTTTTATGATTACACAGGAAAATTAATAATTTTCAGTCGAGCATTGTTATCAATGGTTCAAAAGTAAGAAAAATACGGGATAGAAACGAAGTAGAAGCAAATCGAAGTGAGAATAGCGAGTATAAGGCAAAAACAAAAATCAAAATAAAAAGTAATAAAATTGGGAGGAATTCATTTTGAAAAGAAAAAAGATAGAAAAAGGATAGTATGAACAAAAGATAAAAAAATAGGACAAAAATGATGAAATAGAAATATCAGAGAAACGTGAATTACAAGATGGAACGAGATACACCAAAATATCCATGCATCGCGGAATAAAAATAGAAAACGGAAACGAAATAAAAGGTAGATAATGGAATAAGTAAAAAAGCAACGATTCGAACGAAATACACTCGAGTTTAAAATAAAGTAATAATTGATTGAAAATGAAAGGAATAATTATCGTCAGTAATTTGAATAGAAGATAAAAATGAATAAACAAAGCGAAAAGAGTAAAAGGAAATTAATATTGGACGAATGAGTTTCTCGGTTCGAATTGAATCGCTAATGCGAGGAAGTAAGCAGATCCGAAAACAAAAATGGCCTCGATATTCAAAGAAATTCTTCGATCCTCATCAAAGATCCTCATCGTTTAAACTTGGACAAGACTTGAACGATCCTTGTAAATTTCAGTTGCGGTTATCGTTGATGAG